ATTAATGTTCAGGACAGAGACTCTGAGAAGAACAGACAGGTCCGCTGCTATATTCAGCATGAGCTCCCATTTAAGTTAGTTCCTTCTATTAAAAATTATTATTCTTTAATAACAACTGAGCAACTGGACCGTGAACTAGTGTCTGATTACAACATTACAATCAGTGCTACTGACGAGGGCTCTCCTCCTCTGTCCTCCTCTAAAACTGTTCACTTATCTGTAGCTGACATCAACGACAACCCACCTGTGTTTGAGGAACAGTCCTACAGCGCATATGTGACTGAAAATAACAAACCTGGCTCCACTTTATGTTCAGTTACTGCTCGAGACCCTGACTGGAGACAGAACGGTACAGTGATTTATTCTCTGTTACCTGGTGAAGTGAACGGTGCCTCAGTCTCCAAAACACTTGCAAATACTGCTGTGGTGACCCCATATTGGTTGTCGGGGGGAAAATTGTAGGTCCTTAAAAAAAATCCCTAAAACTAAAAAGTTAAGCTACAAGTGCAAGAAAAAAGTCAAAAAGATAACCAAAAGCTAAAGCAGGGGTAAAGCTAAAGGTTAGCTAAAGATACAGCTGAAAAACATTTGAAAAAGAAAAGAACATTTCAGAAATATATATGTATGTTTGCTAAATGTCTATCCAGTGTGACTTAGTGTCCAGTTTCAGACTTCTGATTTTATCTCCTGGACTCCCTTCAGATCCGTATCAGCAGCTCATCCAGCAGCTTTGAAATCGCTCAATAATTGTTCACTTAACCCCAAACCTTGACCAGTTTTCTTTCAAATTCCCAAGCAGTTCAGCTCATATTAGCTCCGTGTTCACATCATTTCCTATTTCCCCCCCTAAATAAATAAACAGCACTTTCCCCCAGAGTGTAGAACACCTTCAAGACGCAGTAACTGGATATGTTTACGTTTTGGGCAGGAATGTGCGGCTCTTTTACCTTGGCGCACTTGAGAAATTGCTAAATTAAGTGCTCGACATCATTAGGTTAACTACTAGAAACCGAATTTATATTCATATACTGTATATGTATACATATATACATATGTATATATTGTTATATATATGTATAATTTGTATTATCAGTATACACTGAGTACAGTCAAGAGTACAGTTAGGTTAACTTTTTGACTGTTTTGACTATGGACCTGTCGTTTAGAGTAAGGGAGAGGCGTCATCACAAAGAGCACTGTCCCCACAGTAAGACCCAGAGATGGGAGTGTAATGATGTGGAGCTGTATCTGTACATACCGCACAGAGTAAGTGGGAACAAGAAAGGAGCTTGCCAGAAAGAAAAATGTGAGAAGATTCTGAGAAGAAAATCTCAAGCAGCTCCCATCAGAACAGTGGTCGTCAATTCCTCCGATTCTAATATCAATAAAAACAAACCTCAGAACTCGGGGAAAACTGTCTCCATGGAGACCGTCAACGTTCATTACTTCCCCGCACAAAACTCCTGTCTAAGACAATCTATTCTATCTTGAATCTATAAAATACCCGGGTTTATGTCAGAAAACCGCCAAACCACAGAAGATCTCGTTATATACTGTATATATATTTGTTTTAGTTTAAAGAAGCTCCATTGAAACACTTACTCTGTGTAAAGTATAAACTTATTTAGGATAATACAGCATAAGAAATGTACAGTTTGTGATGTTTTAAAATAAATGTTTTGGTTTTTTTTTAAACGTATAAACTTACGGGCAGCAAACTCTGTGTTCTCCACCTCCCGGTCGTTGGTGCAGCTTCCCTGATCCAGACGCGCGTCCACGGCCGCGCAGCAGTAACGCAGGGCGCAGGAGCCGCAGCACACTGTGGCGTCCGCGGTGTCAAAGTCCTCCGGACACTGGAAACCATCGTGGTAATTCCCATTGATGTCCAGCCAGCCGTGGCAGTATTCCCCCTGTGCGTCCGATATGCGCAGATTCCAGGTCAGATATCCGAGCATCAGGCAGCTCAGCAGGCGCTCCATCATCCCAGGAGCCGCCGGGCTTCTGCGGGCTCCAGCAGCCGACGTGAGTTTGACTGTGTGAGTGAGTGAGTGTGTGTGGTCAGTCCGAGTTACGGACTCTTCATGGACATGTAGATGGTAAAATAAGTTCTGAATGTCTGGCTCCAAAGGCGCAAAGTTAAGTCACATTCATCTTCTCTGCTTCCCAAACCGCCTTTATGCACAAAAACAAACCATTGCCAAAGTTTGCATGAGAAAATCCTACAGTTAAAGGCAGAAGAAAAGTGCGCCCAGAACTTTCTTCAGATCCTGACCCATTAGAAGCAGAACCATAGTGTCCGAGTTTCTCCGGAGAACTGGAAAACCCACAGTGTCGGTGCAGAAGTTGCTGAAGTCGCAGTGCCCCCTCTCCACAACCGACCCGAGTTTTGTAATGCTGAATTTTACGCGCGTGTTCACGCTGCCCCATAGAAGATGACGTGCGCGTTCACAGTGGGCGGTTGTGCGTAAAGTCATTATTTGCTTTTAGGCCATAAAGGAAACGCGTTTTCTCCTCTTTTTTCTATTCCTACAGACCGAGTGAAGCAAAGTTAGACAACCGGAAACATCATTTACTAACGTAAACACGTATTTAATTAATTAATAAACAGTACGTTACAGTGTATATATGAGGTAGGTTCGAACCTGAGGAGTTCCGTTTCAGTTGTTGTTCCAGTACCTTTCTGGACAAAACAATGAACGGCTCCCGGAGTAATATTTGTTTGGCTTTTTTACATGTCGTTTTTTGTGTCAAAAATTGGATAAATATGTATTTTTTAAATGTATTTACAGGTATTTATAGATGTGAACAAAGGCCGACTTCTTGGCATTTTTTAACAATGGACTACGTCTTGTTAAAACGTTTTTTGTCACGTGACATTATGTTCTATTCCGTACCATGCATGTCATTTATAATTGTGTATTTGTGTCTTTTAGGAAGGTTGATGGTCCACTGCCACGGTTTATGGAGTAACCGCCAAAACCTTTTCCCTATTTCCTGGGCTAATGGGTACACATTTCATTTAATTTCATCGTCTGTAGCAATATGTACATGATTATGATTATATATCGGAATGCAGTGGTTCTCAAACTGTGGTACTTGTACAACTAGTGGCACTTTAGCTCCCTCTATTGGTACGAGTGGGATGGAAATCCTATGGCTTTAGTTAAATACAGCTGTCACATACACCCCCTCTCTCTCTCTCTCTCTCTCCTCCTCCCCCCTCTGTGTTTGTGTGTGTGTTAGTGTACAGAGTTTGGCCTTGGTTGAATTCTAGTCTGATGAACCTGTTAGAATTAAACTAGGAACAACGTAGGCTTGTTCTGTTGTTTTTTAATGTTTGTCAAACTCAAAGAAAAAAATATTTTCAGAGGTGGTAAAGAAAAGTCCAATAGTTTCTAACACCACTCAAAATATTTCCAATATGACCCCAAAGTTTAATAAAATGCCACCTATAAAGTGTAACATTTGAATGACCTTTCTGTCCTCTCTTTCTAAGAACCCAGATGTGAGTTCACCATAAACAAACCAAAGTCAAGCTCTGTGTTTTGTGGCAAATAGTTCACAAAGAGCCTCATTAAACAGATCCCACCGCAGAATAAATTCCATAGCCACTAAGTGACATTTCATTTCTTCACGCTCCTTCGTTTTCAGCTTTATATACCTTTTCATTTCCAACCTTTATGCACCTCTTCAGCCTTTCATCGTTGGCCCCCGGCCATGTTGGTGCTGGCATCAGAGTGTTTCTGCTCTCTTTGAACTGATGAAAGGGAGAATAAACAGAAAAACCACAAACATGTCGGTGAAACGAGGTTCCGCTCGCTCTACTTATAAACATGTACGTTTGACGCCCCCTAGTGGTGTCATAGGTTTCTACTAGTGGTGAACAAGCGATAACATTTTTTTGAACTGACGTTTTAACGGTTGTTCTTTTGATTTTGTAACGTTGGATATTTACGTTAAACTGTACTTCCGTAATCTTACTGTTATTGCAAGGGTTTATCCGTGTGGGAGTTAAAATCGATACCTTTAAATTTTTAATACATTTTATTTTAATGTAATTAAATTAATCTTGATGATAATGTCCCTCTTATTCCACACAGTCCTGGTTGCCGGAAAGGATGCCAAGGAGCCATTTCTAATACACACTAGGGTGTGCTCTACCCGTTGATTTCTTCACCGGGGTTGAGACGATGACTGGTATAGTGACAGCTGTGTTCACTGCATACACCTAATGTGTATATCCCCTTTGTAGCCAGACTTCAGCACTAGTGTGTGTCCGTAGTTCAGCTTCTTGGGCTCTTGGACCTTGTAGGGGCCGTTCCACTGTGGGTCAGACCACTTAGTTCTCTGTGTAGCTTTTAGGAACACTAAGTCGCCAACCTGAATCTTCTGGTCATGTCCAGGCTTCTGTGGGATAGAGAGAGCTTTGGCAGATTCAATCTGTTCTTTTGTTTTTGCAGCATTTCTCAAATAAGCATGGCATTGGCATTAGCAGTTGAATGAATTTCAGTCCATTTACTGAAGGCACAGACAATGACTCAGACACTAATAGATTTACATCTAGACGGTCCCTGACCTCTCATCAGACACCATTACCCATTTCAGGACCTACTATTCTATTTTTGACTCTCTCAATCACAGTTTTTCAACCATTCACAAACGTCTAAATGGTTCCAGACCTCACATCAGACACTAACAGATTTACGTCTAAACGGTTCCTGACCTCACATTAGACACTATTAGTTTGTAGTAGGAAGGTCTGACCGGTCCCTGAACTCTCATCAGACACCATTACCTTTTTCAGGACCTACTATTTTATTTTTGACTCTCTTGACTTCTCTTCTTTTCAACCATTCTCAACCTTTCTTCAGTACTTCTCCTTTTAGTACAACATTTAAAAACAGTATAAATAGATATGGAAACTTAATATAATGAATATATTGTAAAGACTGGATAAATTTATTTATAATATCTTAACATACACTCTTTTCTGCTGATTTTAGTTATTTTTTATTTATTTTACTTTATTTTCGGCAGTCCTGCTGACTGCTTTCGTCTGTTTTGAAATGACAATGAGTATTTCTAGTTATTTTCGCTTACTTTTTCTTAACTAATTAAAAAAGAAAATACGTAACTTCCCACTGTGTATCTGCATTATGATTTGACTCCGTGTTTTTTGTTCGTTTTTTTTTTTAATTGAATTGAATTTTTAATGTATTTTTCGGTGTGCTCATTAAATTTGTGTGTCAATGTTCCTTTACTTTCAGCCCCGGCGGCAAGATGGCCCCTGTCTCACTGCTGGTAGATTGTTCCACAGTTATATTATTGGGCTGTTGCTGTATCTCTCCGTTCTTCTCTGTGTGACTGTAGCAGCTACTGATGAATGCTGGCGCACAAAGTGGCGCACAAGTCCCGCCTGTGTTCATTCTCAGGAGGAGGGTCGTTGTCAGGGGATTGGAGCACAGCATTGTCAGTAGTCCAGCCTTCATTTACACACGCACACTCACTCAGACACAGACAGAGCTGCTGGAAGGATGGAGGGACAGATGCAGCCAGCGGATGAAGGGCCCTGCGCCCCCAAGATGTACCGCCAGGAGCGGGCTTCATACGGCGGACTGAAGATGTTCCAGGGCAGACGTCCGGCCGTGAAGACGCGCTTCGACGGCTCTGCTTTGGTGGAGTTCCCTCTGTTTGGAGACGGACATCATTACACTTTCCACCCAGATCAGCCTCATCATTTCCAACCGCTCAATCACCATCACCATCATCACCAGCAGCAGCAGCGGTCGCTCCATCAAACGAGCGCCTCCATCATTAGCAGCAGCCAACAGCAGCAGCAGCATTGTTTTCCATGTGAGACCAGGCCCAGCAGCAGCAGCATCAGCAGTAGCAACAGGGTCCCGACATCCACCTCAGCACCAGCACCAGCTCCAGCACCAGCAGCGTCTGTCGGTGCGCAACCTCGGCGCAACCGCAGCGGTGGTGGAGGTGGGGCAGAGAACAGAATCTCTCCAGACTGCAGCCTCGGTATCAGCTCAGGTGGGTTTCAAACTTACAAAACACTCACTCACAAACACAGACAGTCTAGTCATCAGAGTGAAATCTCCCCCTCAACCCTCACTTTGCCATTTTCCTGATTACAGTCCGCTCACTGAAGAAGCTCTTTTTTTTCTCTCTCTACATCAGCAGTGATTGATCTGCTGCTGCAACCGGAGCAGTCAGGTCTGAAGCTCCAGTGTGCATGTGCAAAAAATGACACTGGATAATCTATAGGTCTGTGTCAGTAACACACACATAGTGGCCATGTTGTTACTGCAAATACTCATTCAGCCAATTGAAAACGATTTGGATTTTCAAACTGAAAAGAAAGATGTTACTTTTGTTAAAGTAAGTTACTGTGGTCCTCACAGGAGAGTCTAAATAAGTGGTTAGATGTGGTTACTACAAGAAGCAAGAAGGTCACTGGTTCGAGCTCCAGTGATAACTGATCAGGTGTTTGGGTATGGAGTTTGTTTGTCCTTGTGTACGCATGGGTTTCTGTGTCCTCTGGTTCCCACACCATCTAAAAACATGAAGGGTTGGGTTAATTGTTTAACCTACACTGACTTTAGGTATGAATTTTCAGTATATTGCATTTAATAGCTGCGAAACAAGTGTTTTGTTTTCAGGGGTATAAGAACCAGGCTCAGTCCTGCTAGCGTTTTGTTTTCAGGGGTATAAGAACCAGTCCTGCTAGTTACACTTAGACAATGTCTCAGTGTGAACCCAAGGCTGGTGTGTTAAAATCAAATATCCTGCAGTAGAAGAACGATGTCTTCACTTAAGCTTAAAAGACTAGTGTGGTTCTTGAGGAACAGCTCCAAAATGAAGAATTTTGCTGGCTTAAAAAGTGAGGTCCAAACATTTGCTTATCTTCTCCTAATTAGATCATTACATATTATGGCTGTTGGACGCACAGGCTAAATATGATGCCACATAATTTGGCTTTACAGACGATGGCGGGTCCCTTTGAATGAGCACATGTCTGTGAATGGGCCATAAAAGCTTTTTACCTGACTTCATTTCCCACGCTTGGGTGATAATGACCCGTGCATTATCAACTGAACACACCCAGTCACCTCCTGACTACACGAGGATACAGCTCATAGACCGGCTGTCGAGAAAGAGAGTAGTTAGTTCTATCTCTAACTCACATCCAGAAGTTTGGTGGTTAAATCCCTGGTGCTAATGGATGGTCCGTCTGTTTTGACGTTGATGTTTTGACCTGAAATTTTCCTTTTTGGGTCACTGGCCTAAATGAGGTTCCGTATGGGTTGGATGTAGCATGTTTGGGTGAAATAATATGAATCAAATGTACAAGGCTAAACCTTCAAAGAATCAAATATGAATCAAATGTACAAGGCTAAACTTTGAAAGAATGCTGTCATTTAGTGGCATTACCTGAAATTACAATCAATTAATTGCAATGCATGAAACAGAAGGAATTAAATCAGTGTTTACCATACATTGTACCAGTTTTGGCCCGTGTCTGGCCCACAGGCTGTTTGCTCAGGTCTGGTCTAGATGGGCCATAGGTTTGAGTGTAAGTTAGCTTTCGCTGATTCCAAAGATGCTCTTCAAAGACTTTTATTTTGATATGTTTTAGAGGCGTATGCCATGTGTCCAGATACATGACACATACATAACATGACGTATTGTGTATAAAACAGAGGTTTTTTAAGGCTAACTAATGGAATCACATCATTAAGTTTTAATAGTTTCTATATTTTTTCCCCCAGAAAAATCCCCCAGAGAAATGTTGAGAAATAAATTCGTATCTAATGGATCTGACATCAGTCTTTATTGTTGGTTATTAGTCTCGCTAACCAGCAGTTGTTGTCATGGCCACTCTCCGTCTTTGCTGATGTCCCTTTTGATGCCATTTAATTTGGTACTTGGACGCAGATTTCTGTGCAGAATATTTTCTTCAAATTAAGGATTCAAATAAAATATTTGTCTGCACGAACCTGGATGCAAACGGCATCTGAAAAAATGAGCAACCAAAAAAAAAATATATCACCTGAAGACAAACAACAACAAGACACAATGTCCTTTGTGTGCAGAGCAGCAGCAGAGACACATCACTTCAGAATGCAATAACACAAATTGCTTTGAAAAGCTGTTCCCAAAGAGTTGTGATTAAAATAAATGGGCCTCATAAATTTGCCTGTGCAGAGCGTGTTGTTTTTTAATGAAATTTTATGAGGCCCTCTCTCGTGGCTTGAAGTGGCAATGAGGGGGGAAGGGGGGTGAGATGGGTGAGGAGGGAGAGGGCAAATGATATCAGATACATCTCCACGGGTAAACACAGACTGCACGAATATTAATAAATGCTGCGACACATCTGCAGTGGCCTGATAGACACGTCTGACCGATCGTGTGTGTGTGTGTGTCTGAGAGTCAGACAGGCTCAGACTGTAACTATAAAAGGACACGGGCATGTTTAATGGACAATAGGACACCTCAGACTGTAACTATAAAAGGACACGGACACGTTTAATGGACAATGGGATACACACACCTCATCTTTGGACAAACTGTGACTTTACGGTTTTATCATCCACATCTGAACGAATCCACATAATACAGCTGACAGCAGAGAGACAGAGAGAGAGAATCTAAAACTATTGAAGCTTAGAAAAATCAATCACATTTTCTTCATCACTATACTGCAGATGTGTCTTTACTGCAGACTGTGATGGATGAAGAGAGAATCTAAAACTATTGAAGCTTAGAAAAATCAATCACATTTTCTTCATCACTATACTGCAGATGTGTCTGTACTGCAGACTGTGGATGGATGGATGGATGATTGATGGATCGATTGATAGATAGATAGATGGATGGATGGATGGATGGATGGATGGATGGATGATTGATGGATCGATTGATAGATGGATGGATGGATGGATAGATAGACTAACAATCAGACATATGGACCACATTAACCCTGTAAATGGATGTGATTCTTCCTTTCACAGTGAGTAATGTCTCCTTTTCTTCTCCCTGCCGCAGAGAACCGTCTCATTCTCGATGCCTTTGCACAGCAGTGCAGCCGAGTCCTCAGCCTCCTCAACCACGGCCGACTCCTGGAGCCTTCATCCTCCCTGCCCTCCAACATCAAGCTGGAGGAAGCTCAAGGCCTTCCCTGCTCCACAGCCGGCAGACTCAAACCAGAAGAAAGTTCATCAAGCACAGACCCAGAGGAGGAGGAGGGGGTCCAACAAAGCCATCTGAACCAACAACAGACCTCTGCTGTTCTTCGTATCTTCACAGACTCCCTACAGAACTATCTCCTCACAGGTACTCGGCAGAAACAGCAGCATCTGTCTGCAGCTCCGGAGGATGTTAAGTGTCCGTCAGGTGAGCCCGGTTCAGGTCTGGGGGGTTGGGGTTCTCCGACTCCGTCCGACTCGTATGGCCATCCGTCATCCACGTTGCCTGAGGAGGAGGAGGAAGAGGAGGAAAGCTGCTGCCCACGCTGCCTGGAGCTTGAGCAGGAGGTGTTGTCTCTGCAGCAGGAGAACGAGGAGCTGCGAAACAAGCTGGAGAGCGTTCCAGGTGCAGATACAGAAAGAGCATCACCACCAAATTCTAATACCGTCGTACAGTTGTTAGTAACATGTGTGTGTGTGTATGTGTTAATATTGTCCACATGTTGCTGTGTTTGTGTTTTACAACAGTTCCCTGCCAAAATGTTCTTGACTACTTCAAGACTGTTCTAGATTTTCACAACCAGCTGATCCAGCCACTGACGGAGGAGCAGCTCACAGAGGTGAAGAGGCACAGCTCTTGGACCAGTATATCAACAGTGGTTAAGTTAGATTTTTCTACCTTAAGAATAACCTTAGGATTATTCTTTCATTTTTTTTTCTAGGCTATGACCAAGCTATGTCTCGGTTCACACAACTTTCCTTTGGCTTATTTGACGCTAGTTCTGTTAAATTATGTTATGGTCATGCAACTATTGTTAACTTTTAGCTTTCTTATGATTATCTTTAATTAATTAGCATTTGGCTATCCTGTAATACTTTGATGAACAATGTAGTAAACAAACATTTTAAACTTATGTGAGAAACATGGCCAAAAACATTAAAGTTGTGTGTACTACAGTACAGTATCCTAGCAAATAATAAATATTTATTATAACAGACATTTGCTTTTGTAAATCTAAAGAAATAGCAAAAATCAGTGCCTGTGCTTAATACATTCACGGTAAAAAAAAATTAAACAAATAAAATAGCCTTATACCTTTTGCTTTTTGTTCTAAACATCTGTAAAGTAAACATTTAAGTAAGAATTTCTTTTGGATTCTTGTTTTTTCTACAGGAGGAAGAACAACAGCCAGTCTTTGAGGTTGGTATTCACAAAAGAATAATTTAAAAAAAAGCAGAGCACAATGAGATCAAATGTTACAGTCAAATATGCAGCAGGATAATTTGAAGTAATGAGACTGTGAGGCTGCATGATGATGTTAGATTAGCAGCTAATCTCTGCTGCTGTTAAATCACATGCTCTCCTTGACCTTTTGCTCACGCCACTGGTTCTGGCCCCTGCAGGGCAGTAAACAGCTCCTGGAGAATTATCCTCTCTTCATCACTAATAAGCAGTGGGACGAAGCCGTCAACTCCTCCAAGAAAGACGGTCGACGGCTGCTGCGTTACCTGATTCGGTACATCTTCACCACAGATGAGCTCAAGTTCTCCTGTGGTTTGGGTAAAAGGAAACGTTCAGTCCACTCAGGGGAGCCGGGCCTGGAGAGGAGGCCCCTGAACCCAGTAAAAGTCAGCTGTCTGAGAGGTACAGTGTCTGAAGTATATCTGAAGTAGTATTTATGCAAATTCTGTGATTTGTTCTTTGCCAAACTGATCTTTTCTCTTGGCTAATTGTAGCCTATTGTTTGGCTAAATGTAGCAATTTTTGCTACATTGTTGGGTGACGTGATGATCTGTGATTGGTTTTCAGAGAGCTCCAATTCTTTGTTCTTACCTTTACTCACTTTCGCTTCTTTTCTGGTTTAGTTTTTAGCTGTTTTTGGTATGTTTTATTTAAAACCTAAGGTTATTAGTGAGCTTTATAGGTAAACCATGGCTACTTTTAACTGTTTCGCTGTATACGGTCTTATTTTGTTGTTCTTTAAAGCAGTGGTCCCCAACCTTTTTGTACTAAGGACGGGTTGGACAGTTTCAGCCGTTACTGCAGACTGGTAATTCTGCGCCATTGTTAAAGCATCATTAAATTTTCAAAATAAAGTCTTTATTCTGTTAGTATCAGAGTCTGAATGACCTTGTTCTGAAACATTGACAGATTATCTTTGAATGAAAAAAGTAAAGGGATATGACTGGATTCTTTTTGATTGAAGTAAATTAGTAAAACTGAAGTACATTTTTTCCCACAGTGTCCCACTGCGGCCCAGTACCAAATGACCTAAGGACTGGCACCGGACCCCGTACCAGGGGTTGGGGCCCTCTGCTTTTAAGTATTTGGTTACCTAGAAGCAGTCTTTGGTAACGTTTTTGGCTAGCTTTTAGGAATTTTGATAATACTTTGACTTTTTTCTTTCTTTGCATTTTTTGGTTTACCAACTTTATCTCATTAGGCTAACTTTTACCTTTCTCTTTCTGTCTTTTTGAGTTGACTAATTAATTATTAGCTGATTAGGTAGAGACATTTAAAATGAAAGTCCTTTGCAGAAAACCTTCTTGATTCCTTTCATCTTTTTTATATTCCCCATCTCCTCGTCAGAGTTCATCCGTATGCACTGTGCCTCTAACCCAGATTGGTGGATGCCTTCAGAGGAGCAGATCAACAAAGTCTTCAGTGACGCTGTGGGTCACGCTCGTCAAGGCCGGGCCGTTGGAACATTCCTGGGCAGCAGCAGCAGCAGCACCAGCAGCCTCTACATGGACGGATTTGATGGTCACGCGTCACAAGATGAACTGTATCTGAAGAACTGTCAGAATGGCCAATCAGACTGAAGTTACAGATTAATAAATAAAAGAATAAATAAATGTGGAAGCAAATGGCAGTAATGTAGCTGTAAAACAAACATATCTTAAGTCACTGACCTGATCCTGTCACTTTACACAGTGAAGAAAACATTCCAGAGGAAGTTAGAAAAACAACTTTGCTCCTCTTTTCAAATAGTTTTGTGCCTTTTTATTTTTTATCATTAATAAATATTTTATTCTGGTATGTTTTAAATTTTGGTTTTTGAAAACAGAAACAGAATCAAACCTTGCACAAGGTTAACAAAAAATAAATCATATTTTGATCTTGTCTTGAGCATTGACAAGTGTCAATGTAAAAATCACTGAGTATTTGAAGCCACCAAATCTGGTAAAACCTGAATATCCCATCAAGATAAGTAATGAGTCTGGAGTTGTCTTCTGAACCTACAAGAAACTGATTTTAAATTTGGATTTGGTTTTGGGTTTTTTTTTACATCCGTAAATGCTGTGTTTTGTTAATTTTTTACATCTTATTCCAGTTTACAGGATAATGATCCACCTTCCATTTGGAGCATAATTACAGATTGCAGTGTTGATGAACATGCCATTGAGCTGAGGCTGTGATTGGATGATTTAGCTGTCAGGTGTGTGTGGTCTTCTGTTAAATGTTTTCTTGTGTGTTACCCTAAATTAAAGTACTATTATTTTACTATTCTGGTCCAAATCACCTGGAACCAGTAAGACTTCCATTAGCGCAGGTTTAGAAAGTTGGCCGAGAAACCAACAGAACATTTCTGTCAGAAGGAAACTAATCTGCATTCATTTTCCCATAATCACACTCACTAAGATTAGTAGCACATTTACTATAACATATTTTCTTTACGATTACTTAATTGTTTTTTTCAGTGCCTCTGAAGTTGTCTGGGTCATGACCTGAGTTTTATTTCAGTTTCCGCTCCTCTACATCTGAATGTACCAGATTTAACCACAGTTGTGTGTAAATGTGTATTACAAAGTTACAGTAAGTGTGTGAGCTGTTTCTCTCTCTCTCTCTCTCTCTCTCTCTCTCTTTAAGAAGCCAAGTAGAAAAAGTGCCACAGAAACCTCAAGACCGTGAGATTCTGTTGACATGTTGCTGTTCAGACTGTAAGCGTTGCTGTGTATTTACTCCTCAAAGTGGCCGTTATCAACACTGTGAAACATCCGTGAGATTTTTACTGATCTACACTGTTTTTTTTATTTATAATAAATGAAAGAAAATAATGTTGGAGTTGGAAACTTGAATAGATAGATAGATATCTATATATATATATAGATATATACATATATCTATATATAGATAGATATATGTATATATATACATGTAATATTAAATACATGTATGGACAGATATGCATAGGCTGAATATAGTATATATATATATATATATATAGGTAGGTAGCTAGAGCAGCTTAAAGCATGCTATTGCTTTCTTTTGTACAATTCCAACTATATTTTAGCTATATATATTTCTGGGACAACTTTTCGTTACTGTAGCTTTAGAAGTACGGCAATTTATATTAAATATATTATATATTATATTAAATGTGCTGTTGCGGATTGTGGTCCACCAGATGGCACTCTAGATAGCATAACGTACACATTGTCCGGTTGGTAACTACTTTATAGAACTATAAAAAAAAGTCAATAATGTAATAAAATATAATATAATATTTTTCCTATATTATATTATATTATATTATACCTTCACTGCGGCTAAATCAGATATTCAAATTATTTGTTAATTTCTGTTCAGACATGGACTTTGTGTTTAAGTCCGGCTTGTCTTCATTTGTGCACATCTTAAATGTAGGTCATCTCTCAAACTTTTGCACACATTTGATGCGATCAGTATTTGCATCATAATTCAGTAGAAAAGTTGCTGGAATTTTACTTAAGCTGCACTGACAACAGTGTACAGTGATCGTGTGTATCTACTCATTAACAAACTAATGAACCTGCACTGTCACCAGGTAGATTTTAGATGCCGTGCAGGACGCTTGTGATTGGATATCGAGGCGCAGCCGTGCGCTTTCACAGCGGAAGTACGTTATAGTACTTCCTTGGCGGATGGTGGCTGCAAAATGGTGCCGTGTGAAGGCACAGAAAAAGAAAAGAAAAGGTCTGGACTGCACGTATCGCTTCAGTCACTGTGTTATTCAATTGTACCAGATAGCGCTTTGTTACTGGCCTCTAAATATCTGCACTAAAACCGTTTGGTTTGAGTGGACCAAACATTTTGGGTGTTGCGACTTTAGCCACGTGTGTTAGCGAAGAACCGGCTCGATCTGTGGGGAACGTTTGCTTCAAAGCGGTTCTTGCGCTTTGTAGTGAATTGAAACGATGACACTTCAACGAGGAAGACGGCACATTATTATTTAGCGCACGGATTTACCCTCGTCCATTATTTAAGCGTGTATATGTGCGCGCACTCGTGCACGTATGAACTTCCGGTGTAGCAGCAGCCCAATGTCGCCATCAACTGGCCATTTTTGAGCTGCTCAAGTAAGAAAAAGAAACAGAAACATGTCATTTTTGTCACCTGAAATGAAACTTTTGGACATCATTTACAGAGTGTTGGGGGCTGGAAAGGACAAGTATTATGCAGTGAATTACCCACGAAGCCATCTTTAAACTGGTCATTGTGTAAATAAAAATGACTGCATTGCATCAATGGTTGACAGTACCAAAAAGTACAACATTTTCTGACTTTAAACCAAGTAAAAAATCTCATTGCTTAGTATTAAGGCAAATGACTGAATGAATTTTTCTTCATTTTTGAAGATTGTTTTTTTTTTTGTTTTTTTTAATGTTGGCTTTGTCTGTGTTTGCCTTTCTCATATTTTTTTTTTAAAGAAGATGCAAGATGATCTTAGCATTTTTCTTCATTTTTGAAGATTTTTGTTTTTTTTTTAATGTTGGCTTTGTCTGTGTTTGCCTTTCTCATATTTTTTTTAAAGAATTGAAAGCATGAAATAGGTCATTGCTTGTTTTAAGATGACTGATTTTACAATAAAACTAAGCAAAGGTGCAAGATGACCTTAAAGTCTTTTTCAGAATGGAAAGAACTGTTAGTATGGTATAGTTGCCTTTGATCAACAGTGGTTTCCAAGAATATTTGATTGCAGTTTTGGTAAATGATCATGCTGAAGTGTTTTAGCACTTTGTTGAAACTGTTTCTTTTTTTTTTTGTCTTATGTTGAGAAATATTCACATGTTCCCCATCAGGTGAAGATTCTTAGTGCACTTCAACACTTTTTTGTTATTGAGAGTTTAACATGACATTGTGGACTATTTTAGGACACAGGAAGTTTGAATGTTGACCTTTA